CGTTTGTCGCGGTCAGTACACGTTGCTCCAGATCCTCCACGTAATTGTACAGAGTTTCTCTGGTTTCTTTCCTCGTCTACCCCGTATTCGCTGCTAGTTCTTCTACTTCCAGTCTTGCCTGAGCTGGAGCTCGCATTCGTTTGTACCAGAAGAAGACTGCTTGTGGAGCTCAGTCGCTTTGTAAACTCCTGAAAGCTTAACCTCTTGACACTCGTACTACTGCTTCTCTTGATATCACTTACTTCGAAATCGCCGGCTCTCAAATTCGAGCTACTGGTGCTTGGATAGAAGTCTTTAAGTCCAGGCATAGTCACGGCTGAAACCGAGCGTGAAGGTAGTGCAAGCGAGGTAGGGCGGCTATGGCGCTTTGAAGTACTTGTACCAGTTCTTGGCCGGAGACCACCAAGGTTGATGGACGGAGGAATCCCATGGAAAGCTGACATAGCCTGAGGGTTCAGAAACGGAATTGGAGGATCGTTCGAGGTTGGTGAGGTTGATCTTCCTGGAGATATTGGCGTGCGGCGTCCGGAGATGTATTCCAAAGCTCTTTGAGCAGGCGTAGGCATTTCAAACTCCTGATCAGACATATCCATTCCATCATCTTCGTCCTCTCCTTCCGCACTCGAGGATTCTTCGGATTCCTCGTCTAGTGACCAACCGCTTCGGGCATCAGTGTTTTGAATTGTGCTAGTAGATTTCTGCATTTTTCTCTCGTCTATCTCTCTCATCAATGCCTCAAATTTTGCGATACTACTGATCTTCTCCTCATCCTTATCTTGAACTCTCTCGCTTCCTGGGATACATCTCATCTGAAACGCTCTGTCAAGAATAGTCTCTCGAGGACCTGGCGGTGTTGATCCAAAGGCGTTCCCTGCAACGGCTGATGCAATGCTATTGCTGCCCCTTGTATGTGAGGAGAGAGCAGAAGTTCGTCCTTGCGCCGACGTCCATCCTTCAATGAACTGGTGGTCGTATCCTGAGGTTGAAGCTGGCGATGGCAGATCAGATGGCAGTGTTGTGAATTGCTTGGAATGATTTGTAGCAAAGCCCATAGGAGGCGGCATTGAACTCGACTGCGACGAGAGGTCAGAACGTCTTGAGCGTAGGCTTGGAGACGGCGATAGCACGGCAGATGGCCGGTCCCGAGGTGCATGAGGATATGTACTCGAAGTAGTATTCTGGCTCGAGGCTCTTTGCAAAATTTCAGGTCGTGTATTTGAACTGGTCGGGGTTCTAGTATCTCTAGCATCTTTAGGCGCAAAAGGGTTAGTGAAGAATGTTGGACTTAATGGGCTCATCTCGTCATTCAGGTCTTCCAAATGCTCATGGGACTCGGGTCTCAACTGAGACTTTATGGCGGTCTGCCAATCGTATATGTTGTACCGCTCATCGGGAACAGTGCGGAACAGGAGTGTGCTGGCCCACGGGTCTTTAGATGTCAACCCACCTGTCCTGCTAGACCGTCGTTTCCGTGCTCTCTCAGTCGGTGCGTCTGATTTGAACTCGAGCATCATTGTTGGGAGGGAAGGCATTTGTTTCCGGTGTTGCACATTTCGTATTTCGCATGATGCAAAGGACGAAATTGAGTGCTGGGCCACAAACTCTCGATCGCCCTTGAACAAATTAATAGGAATCCTGCTGCCTGCCTATGACAACTCATACCTTTGTCTTGCATATTGAAATGTAGAGTGTTTGATCCTGATCTTGTGTTGTGACATCGACCAAACTTGGCTTTGACGAGGTTGATTTCAAATCTTTTCGCGAAGACCCAGCTTTTGATTCTGACTGGACCATGAGTTCATGTTGTGCTTTCAGCTGGGCACCCGTGCCGAAAACAACGTATCGTGGCTAGAGATGGAATGTTAATTGACTGGGAGCGCAATTAAGCTGAGAAATACCAACCTTCCATACTGCCCGACCGATCAATATTCCTCGTTCAGGGGGCATCAAAAGAATGCCCTCCATATAAATCATTTTCGCATCAGAAAGGACAGACGAAGAATAGAATAGTTGTGTATTAAAACATTATCGAAGCTCCGCAGTCACTCTCTACAAGTTCCCACAAAGACAAGAGAAGAGGTTTGACGGTTCGAGTAAGTCGAATGCGGCGCCGGAAGCGCAGATGAGTAGATTGAAGATTCTGCGCTTTGACCCCTTAGTTTTTGCCTGCAGCACTAAATAAATTACCGTAGCTTTTTGTCGTAGATCCACGATGGCTCAGGCAGGTATGCCCCTGCTTAACTCTAGGCCGCAAGATTCGCCCAAAGAGGCGGAATATTGGTTTCTGGATATAGGAATAGTCTACGTAATTTTGGTAGAATTTAGGACAAAAGTTGGATTTCGCGACGTGGGTATATGGCGATTGAAGTGCTCTCCGGTCCTATACAACCACCACAAAATTCGCCTAGAGACCCACATACAATTATTATTGGTCCCTGACAAATCATACATATGAGGTACCTTAGGAACGTGTGCATATATACTCACTCTACGATTTGCTGAGGTTAGGCTAGATACTGGTATGCAGCAGGCTTGCTGCAAGTCAGATCATGTAATGTTGATGCAGTACCTGAGGGGCGACATATCACCTCATGTACATCCGGGACGGCATCACAACCAATTGGCTCCCTTTTTCTAAAGTAGATGCATAAGGTTTAGAAGGCACAGGTAGCATCGATCAATCTATTAACCTCCGTATACTCTCATGATGAGTAAGTTCAGTCTCTTAGGGTTATACAACATCCTTCACAAAGAGATTACACCCTCCGTCCCATGGTGAGACCAACCATCGATTCAACATCTTTCTGACACACCTCCACTCACAAGCCAACCTCTCTGATGAGCACTAGCTTTTAGGGTTTGCGTCCTGCATTAGTTCAGGCCCTCGATTTTGTAGCACCATCCTAAATAGATTCTTCAATCCTCTCTTTCAAGACACTTCTCCCACAATGGCACTGGCTGGCAACGATCCACCACTAGAAGTAATAATTGCTGCTTGATGTTGTCAATTCTTATATTATCCTGGGGAATGGATGCAGGCAAAACCATGGCTTGATGCGTTAAAACTTCCGAGCCCGTTAAATACCCAGATAAATCCTTATTTAGCCAGGAACCAAGATAATAAGGTGGTATTCCCATCCGCGCCATCCCATGTTTACCGAATGCCGGAGCGGCGGAGTAGCCGTATTCATCCTTTGGACTAAAGCCATGATTCAAGTCTCAGGCCAGGGGGCAAGATCGTGAATTTGTTGAAAGGCATGTAAAAGCGAGATCTTAGTAATTGATGCGCCAGCTGGATTGTACTGGTGCTGAAAGTCTTTGTCCAGTGCATTAATCCTCGGCTGTTCATCCGAATCTCAAACACTACAACTGACAATCTGATAACTTCGGCACGTTGATCAAACAAACCCACTACGGCATATATTTTCTCTATAGTCTAGCGCTGTGTGAGACAACTACCTACATAGTATATCAGACCTCGTACTGTAAGAATCTAAGGTTTAGATCCCATGGGCGGCCCGCGCCAGATAAACGATATGATCTCCTTCTTCCCTTCTGGGTTGTTCCTTGATAGCCATGCCGACCCCGGATAGTCTATCAGAATGCAGCAACCGACTATTTCGTTTCTTTTTCTGCACAAGAACCGCCATGTGTCAAAGGTTCAGCTTCGGCAGCTAGCGTACACTTCACATACGTTCTCAAATCCTTTCTGTCACATAAAGCGAAAACTAGCAAGACATGTCCCATTTTCATGCACCTTTTGCATGGCCGTGAGGCTCCACAGCTTTCTAGAAGTTCAGCCATCTCTCCCGCTCCCCACAGACAGACCGCAAGAAACCCCACGGCCACAATGTGAACCGAGATTGCGATGTGTCGTCTCCAGCGCAAAGCGTTGGGAAGGTGAACGAGCAGCGCGGAATGGTCCATGGCAGCGGGAACCAGTGGTGTAGAGGAGGAAGTTTCGTAATATGACCGGGTCAACTACAAGTGTCGCACATGGTCAAATAAATGATGGCTTTTCCCTTATGACAGCCACAAGTGAAGTTACCAAGGCCCGAGCAATGGCATGAACATAGATTATAAACAAGCAATTCTCGCCAAGTTCCCCACTTGCAAAGCTAACTAGATCCAAACCTCATCTCCTTGCCGGTGATTGTCTAGAGATGAAATGAAGTGACAGAAGTCGGTTCCTTAGTAATTGTGATTTGTCTAATTTGTTGTGTGCTACAGAATGCTAGACATCAAGTCGACCTTTTTCCCCCTTTGCTTTCAGTAGTGCCGTAATTTGTTTGATTTCCGTCTTGACACAAGCAGACCGATCATCTCGGTAGTATAACTTTGGATAAATAGTAGGTTCCGAGAAAGCATGTGTAATATCTTTCACAAGGGCATGCGTATAAAACAAACCTAAACTAAAGACAAGAATCATGGCTCAAAAACAATCCTTTCATATGATAGATTGTTGAAATTCATACAGGGGACCAATGGTTATGACAAAGAGCCGAGGGCAGTCGTTTACTTAACTCTGATATATGTATATTAAATATACCACTTTGAATTTTTGAACCAAACCACCAAACAAAGCGGTACCACTTGTAGAAGATTATTACAAGCATCATATTCGCAAAGAGCCTCAAAGTCGGAAAGTATATCAATTTATCAAGAGTAGTGACATATTTAACCACAGTTCCTGTTGTATAAACAGTGCAGTTCCTAAATATATTTTCCTCCAACCTTCCTATAGCATCTCTGCTTCTTCTTCATAGTGTAAAAATTAAATCAAGAGGGTCCTTATAGGCACATTTCAAAGTGACCAAGGCGATCACATATAACCACACTGTCCCACTTCTTTAAACAAACTCTGTTTCCGCCCCTTTCAGCGGCGGCAAAACTCCGCCTTCCAATTCCTCCCTCCAGCCTCGTCCCAGCACCGCTCCGCTGGCTCCCTACATTAAAGCGCCGCATATGCCTGTTCCCCAGCAAAATAACAAAAACAACCCGGCCGGATGGTATAGTGGTGAAGACGCCTCTGCTCTCCGCGGATTTTGGTTACCTTCCCCTAGAGAAGCTAGGGCGTGTTGTACAACAGATGCGGAGAGCACACAGAGGAGACTCGGGTTCGATTCCCGGTCTGGCCATTGAGCACTTTTTTGAGATGTTTTTTTTGGCTCTGGGTTTTATGGAATCTCTGGTTATGGAAATGGTGTTGGGAAGGAAAAGCTGTCGTAGAAACAAAGCAGAGGTGGTTGATGACAATAATAACGAAATCACAGCGCTGTTACAGCTTCATGTCTTTTATTTAGAATGGTCGGTGCCGCGAGACTAGTCTGAAAATTTAGCACATCTATCACAGAAAGGCTCATGATGGGTTGGCCAAAAAAAAAAAAAAAGAACCTTTGCTAAGTCTTTGAATGACTTAAAATGAGAAAGAGCTTCTGCCCCATAAACCTTGTGGTTATTTATTCACCAAATCCAGGCAACCGCCATATTCGTACTTGCGTGTTCTCCTCCAGCCTTTGCTGCTCTTGCTCTAGTTTCCTCTCTATCAACACAAAAGGGCCGGGATAGCCATCTTCAAAAGAATCTCCACCATATGAACACAAGCATGAAGAATGCCAAGCCGCCTATTGGTCCATACTGCTTCAGCAGTAATTCCCAGTTGATCCTCACTGCTGCCTTCCTATACTTCAAGCTGTCCTCTCTTAATCGGCTGCTCACCTCGCCCATACGCTCTAAACTATCGCCTCTGTACAATAAATCTTCGATATTCTTTGTCATAACCTTCGTGACATCTCTAAGCTCGTCGTTCAGCTTGTCAAGATTCTGGGAGGCACGGGTATCGGAATATGTGGCTTTCGTTCGGGATATAAATGTATCGAACTCCATGAAGGCATAAGGTCGTAGACTTGGCGAGAGAACTTGTGAGGATGGATAGGTAGTGTTAAATTCGGTTGACAGATCGGAGAGATAGGTGAAGGCTAGTTTTCGAGGGTATGATTTCTCCGATATGCACAGAAATACGATGTCTTGGGAGATGAGGTAGCTGTTATATGTTAGCTAATTGTGAGCGGAAATATAATGTGCAATTGCTGCCGCCAAAACTACGAAATGGCAATATACAACAACGCGAGCAGAGTTTAATATCTCTACTGATCAATTATTGCACTGATTCCACAAGTAAAGAGAGACATATGAGCTGGACGTCCCACAACGAAAAATATGTACAGCCCTGTAGCTAACTTCATAGAAAGGTAACTGAGTCCATATATGTATATTGATCAACGAAAAGCAGAGGCTTTGTGTTTCCAGGATTGTCCATGCCCGATGCAATATCAGCACCGCAGCTTGGCCATCTGAATATCTCAGATGCGAGAAGACTTCATTTCCAAGTTTGCTGTATTAAGGCGATCTTCGGCTGAGAACAAATATATTCACAAACCTGAACTACTCTAGCACTTGCTAGTATGTAGAGCTCTCTACAGCCCAACCCATCATTCGATCGAACACAAAGCATCCCCTTACATCTGCCTATTCTTTGCATGTCTCAAGATCTACAAAATCGGGTTTCCTGGCAAACCCCAACTGTTGTGCTGCCATGCTTCGCGTAGTATGGACGAAAATCTCTGCTATGCGGAAGTCCTGTATAATTATACGTACTGTAGGGTGTATGCGCCACTCTCGATGCTAGCTTGTTGTTCTGAATTCCGATTCAATCTTCGCAAGACCATCTTAACTTGAGACTTGATCTCGGCGAGGGACGATTCGGTCTGGCAAGTAAATGGTCAGCTTATACTTCTGGAAAGTGCCAATATTCTCGTACTTGTTCATCGTCAACAGATGCACAGAGCATTAAGCCTAGGTAACAGATCAGCATGCGATCTCAAAAAAATCCCTGAGAGCAGAGTACCATCTAGCCTCGCAATCTGTGTGGATCTAATCATCGCGCCTGTTTCTAGAGCTCTTCCTGAAGTCGCGGTAGTGTATTCCCAAGTTCTGAATTGTTGTTCTGTGGAAACCTGCAGTGATCGGCGATTGACACAGAACGCTGTTGTTAAAGAATAGAAGAGACCAGGTTGTTTGGCACAAGCAAGCTTCTAAACTCTTTGACAGATATACAGTTCATACGTAGCTTCCAACCAGTAAGCTTTGTCACTAAATTAAACTGGCAGGTACAGGGCGCTTTGATCAGTTTATGCACAGTGCCGCACAGCCAGGTGCTTCTTTCTTGCCTCAAATATTAGGATAGCAATAATAAACGTTCTTAAACGGACTTCTTCACATTCATTTCCCATGTCTACCATGATAAAATTCAAAAATTTATCTTGTAAGTCCTGCTGTGTTCCCTAAAAAACGTCTCTGCAAATTATCCTTATCCATATCAAAGAAGGGTTTATTTCTTTTCTTGAAAACTAGTACTAGCACTTCTCAGAACCTACTCACAATCCTTCGTTTACTTAAACTAGGATGAGGGCAGACCCGATCATTCTGAATGAGATTCTGAAATTGAATGTTCTACAGAGAGATTGTTTTCTAATGCAAGATTGACTAGAGCATTTCTATAAAAGTGAGCTTTAGCATCATATCGTATTGCCAAACCGGGGATTCTGTCGTGCTCTGCTAATCACTCTTCCTTAATTCAGCTCAGAAGCAAGCAAGCTGTTCACCAGGTCTTTTGCTTTTAGTACCTATATTTTGAGGATTCATCTTCCATATTATAATGGCTCGTAATGGTAATGGCAAGAACAAATCAAAGCGTAAAGCTACACCACTCAAAGGCCGTGCTGCGAAGAAAGCCAAAGACTACAGCAAATATGATGATGTTGATATTCTTGAAGACGATAAGTGCTCGCTCTACAGTGAGGAGACTGACCTTCTAGTAGGCAATGCAGATTTCCTGTTATTATTCAAAATCTAAAGCAATCATAGGCAATTCTAAGTCATCCTTTAGCAGTGGAAACTTTGGTTGCTTCGTCTCTGGAATGCCTTCCAATCCATGGTGCGGACTCAGAGAAATTCAAGACTGATATGGCTGCCTTCAAAGAGGATGGCCGTGCTGGCCGCTTTGATAAAAGTTGGGTCACGCAGGCACTCGCAGCCTCAGAGAAACGGAGCAATGGTGGTTTTGAAGAGTTTCAGAGGCAGTGTTTTACCTCTGACTGGAATTTGCCGCTTGAAGAGCCCAAAGAAGTCAATTCTCAACCTGAAAGTCGCTATAGAGAGCTAGACAACAGTCATGATGCGTCTGGATCTTGCTCTAGCGATGAGCGAATGCCAGATGCTCCTCGGTCTACATCAGAAGGACAGGTTGGCGAAAGTAATCAGCCTATGTCAACCGGCTCTGCGCCAAGTACTCACGCCGACGAGAGTAGTCAGCATATGACAGTTGATTCTAGAACTAGTGATCAAGCTAGAGAGAGTGAACGGAGTCAGGTCAATCCCACTACAAATGAAACTACCATCCGGTCAAGTACCGAAGGCTTCAAGGAACCATGCAGTAGTTGAACGTGTATTCGGGGCCAAACTTTCAGTTCCTATGTCGTAAACGCAGCCCTCTCACCAATACCAGCTATTCGATCCTCAACATTTCGCATATCAGAGAAACGGACAGTGCTTTAGGTCTGACTCTGAGACCAATGGTAAGATCTTTTACAGAGGTTTTGGATGACCTACTGACCCTCAGTAGCCTGCTTAACATCGACACTGCACTCGAAATGCGTCACAACCATGCAACTCTTTTATGAGAAACAGTTCATATGTTCCATGGCTAAAGATCTGCGGTGCCATCGCGCGATTGATAGATCTAGGGTCATACGATTCCTAGCACGACTACGTTGTATAATAGGAAATGCCCAATTCCCAGGGGATATATCCCAGTATCGGTTATCACATGGACAAATAGGCAGGTGACTGTCAAACGCGTTGCCTGGTCGCAGAGCCATCCGACATAAGTCTTCTACTTCTTCTAGCTAATTCTCTGTCTTAATGGAAATACAGTGTATTCACCGGATCCTGCATACTCAGTCTGGGGTTACATTCTTGATACAATATGTCTTGAAATGAGGCGGCCAAAAATAAGGCTTGACTACAAGATATGCTTGAAAACATCACGGAATAAACATTTTGACGACCCAAACGCCGACATTACCAAGGGACAATTACAAACAAGCAATACAGAACCCCGGATAACCCTTCCCGAGTATTTCGGGATGACCTACCCCATTTACCTTGTTACCCAGACTCAGCGGTCTAGAATTATTCTTGTTGCATACCCTGCTACGTGCCCAATCGTCTCTTATATGTACAATGATCGACACGCCCTATCGACATTCCTGTCGTCAACTATCCCATTGCAGTGGTTTTGATGTTAGAAAGACCCAGTAAAGTGATATCTTACCACAGGCCCTATTGGCGTATCCGAAGTTCCCTATATGGAGAGCGGACCTAGTAATACCCCGTAGGTGAGGGTAGATCCGTTGTTTTTGCCTTGAGCAAATGTTTCCGGCGTTGAGTTGTGTTGCACAAAACGAAGCCAAAATGCAAGTAATACCACACGTTTCCTGCCAAAGAACCCGTCGGCATAGCTGGCAGTCAACTAAGAACACGAATTATCGAAATAGCTTTGAAACTAGAGACTACTCAAACGGAAGCCTTGCTAGTCTCTGGTAGCTAGAGTCTTTTCCTGGAGATAGGCCTAGGCCGAATCTGCAGATTGCTCTTGCGTTTTTGGCGTTAATGATGCAGCTTAATGCCTATATTTTAACATTGCTTATCCCTCCAATAACGCTATCGACGATAATGTGAAGTTAGAACCTGACCCGGATTCTACCCGGATTACGGTTTCTTGGACACTGGAAAGTGGTGAACTAGTTTGTAACGTGGTAGACCTCTATCTGTTCTGTCTTATAAGTTTAGGTAAGAAATTAATAATATATGCTTCACCACAACAAGAATTTTGGACTAATCTTTTGGTAGTGTGCATCTGTCTTCGTTGGCGTGGGAGTTCGTCTTAGCCACATCTTCGGGAGAAGGAACTTTATGCTTTTTAGTATAGTTGTCAGTGCCATTGGCTGTATAGTAGGCGGCACTGGCCAGAATATAACCGTATTATTGCTAGTGGCGCTATTCTTGGAACAGGATC